CTCAAAAAAAAAAAAAAAAGGTTTGAATTCCAAAAAAAAATGCAGTAGGCTTCTTGGAGAAGCTTTGAGAAAGTTAACGGAAAGGTATGGAGAAATGGACGGAAGTGACGGACGATAAGCCTAACAAACGGAAGTTACAAAAAAGGGCTATTTTTTTCCATTTTTATAGGTTATGGGCTAAAACCGTTATGTTATAAGGTGATGGGTCAAAACCGTCCAATTTATCAAGGTAAGGGGCTATTCTTAGGTTTTTACCGTTAAAAAATCGAAAAATGACAAGTTAAGTGAATACCTTAAGATTTTAGGCTCCTTTCCAACAAAATAAATAAATTTAAGATTTAATACACTAAGAATTTGATTCATTGTCACTTTGGTTTATAAAATTTTTTTTCTTTCAAATTGATTTAAAAACTTCAAATGGCATATTAAACATTTTTTTTTTTTTTTTATTGTTTGGAACATACATGGAAAATTTTGTAGGAAAATTGGGGATTTAGGACTCAAACCCAGCTGATGAACCTGGTAAATGCACCCTCTGAGCCAAGAGCGCAGGTAAAATACCTTTTAAAAATTTAAATGTCACGTGACCCAGAAAATACATTTCAAGTATCCAAAACAGTTAATAGGATTTTATAAGATCCCTCCAAACCCAGAAAAGGGAATAAAGATTGACTCCAGATGAAATGCTTCTATGAAAAACCATGATTAAAATGAAAGTACAAAAATGATAAGGCTACAACTGCATAGTAACAAGAGCCAGGAAGAGCTCACACAACAAAATTTCCTGGACTTCTCTGTTCTCTTAACACTCGACATATCTACGAATAGCCTCACAACAGCCAAGAATCCAAAAATCAAGCATACAAGAAATATTATGATACCCTGCTTCTCCATTGTCGTTTGATTCTCCCGAACCTCTTCAACCATTGACCTGCAGATTAGTGGCACCGATCATCAAAACCCACATCTCAAATAAGTTTAATATCATTTCATCATAGTTATTTATTGGCACAAAAAGAAAGAGGTGAAATCAAGAAATTTTCTGTTGGTCCCTTTAGCTAGCAATTAACTGTAACAGATTAGAGAAAACCGACACAAACTCAATTGAATGTCTGCATATTCTTTAATACCACTGTCGGTCAATGAAATCTTGGCCCCCCCCTCAAGAATAAAAAGAGAACTTCTATGCGTTATCTCTAGAAATGATGACACTTTGCATGCCAATACCTTGTTATTTATTATCATTTCATCATAGTCATTTATTTAATTTATTGATTATGTCTGACCATGATCTGGATGGATACCAACTCCCTGTTCTTCCAGCCAAGAATTTCAGTCTTTTCATTAAACTATGAGGCTACATCAGCAAAATAAGATTATTATGTAACAAAGGCAGCACTTTGCATGATGAAGTCATTTTTCAGAAACATCAGGAGTTTGATACTCAGAACCCAATGTCAAAGGTGGGTAACGAACGCGATGGAATCGGAAGCATTTGAGACGATGGGAATCAAGTTGTTCCATTTCAAGATTGTTACTTATAAATGATCTAAATGTTCCCACACCCGAGGCAAGATTTTTATGCAATATAAAAAATTTATACAATATAAAAAATTTTCCTATAAGTTTCATATCAAACAAAACTGAACTAAAATGTATAAATCCTTGAATTCTTCACATATTAGTTCAAAATCACCAGAAGGTACTGAAAATGACTTATATTCTTTAAACTCAGTTTGCTGCAAGTTTTATGTTTTCACCTGAGCGAAACTAAACACACGCTCTTCAGTGCTACACAACCAGTAGCCAAAAAAAAAAGAGAGTAACAGTAACAAATCCATACTGAATGCTAATTACACAAACTAAAATACAATGAAATTTGAAGAAAATAAATCATAACAAACATTAAGGGATGGAAGCAACCTGAGATCAGCATTGTGTCTGAGTAGAGTATCCAACTGTACAGAAACAAGAGATTTCCAAGAAACAAGATCACCAACATCTTTAGCCTGAAAGGGTAAAGAGGGAGAGGGGAAAGAAAATCAGTTAAAAGGAGTACACTAGAATTTGAAAAGGGAAAACAAATAGAATAGAGAAATAAATATACGTACAATGGTATTCTCGCTATTTACGAGATCCTTTATGTTTGATCTGATCTTCTCCAGAATTCTATCCTTCTCTCCTAAATCATTGTCAAATTCTTTCAGGATTTTTCCATATTTAGAATTTAACTCTTCTAGGTAGCGCTCCAAGACAGATAAACTCAAGTCCAGGGAACCAACTTTCTGCATCAGTATTTTAAGAACAGTGTCTCCAGGCATCCGGCCCACTTGTTGATGACGAATTTCTTCAACTGGATCGGGGATGCTCTTACTTGCAGGGTCAAGTTGTGCATTTAAGTTTTCACCTGAAGACTCAGGCCCTGTTTCTTTTTTTGAATTTTGATGAAGAGAATCACCTTGAGCAGACTCTGGTAGCAAAGAAGGTTGTTTTGTGTCACTACTTCCTTCTTCGGGAACAAACAAGTTATCTTGAACAGATATCAAATCTTCCAGCATTCGCTCTACTGCATCCACTCCATACACCTCCACAACACTCAGTGTGCAGTAAAATTCTGAACCATAATGACTAAGAAGATTCAACTTTAGATATCTCACCCACTTTGGCTCTTGAAGAACAAACCTCTGAGCAAGTTTCACATTGGAAGCAGTAAAATTACCAATCTTAATCCACAAATCTGTTGGATAAACCAAACTTCCATACAGCTCAAAATCTTTCAAATTGGAAGAGTGGTGTTCAAAGTTGGCTATTTCAATAGTGTCCACTAAAGTTTCCTCTGAAAGCTCTATAATAACAAATTTTTCTTCAGCAGAACATGGATTTCGAAGGTATTTGTCCTTGTCGCTGCTTAAAATACTGGAAGCACCCTTTGCTTCCTTGTTATATGCCAGGACTTTTGCTCCCTTTGAAGCTGAAGCATAATTATACTCATTACCTCCAGGCTCCACTCTATGTTTAACTTCACCAGTCTGACCAGTTCCAGATTTACTTCTATTAGTGAATGATCTACTCTTGAATTCATCAAGGCCAAGTGGCACAGCATGAGACAGTCGATTAGAGTTGGGAGAGCTGTTTTCAGATTTTATGACTAAACTGGACTTATCCATGGCATGTTGCTCCAAATCGGAGCCAGAATTTGTATTCTCTTCACTTACAACCAATTCATTACTGTATCCTCTATCCTCAACACCGTTTGTGTGAGAACCATCAGAAGAATGAACATGACAAATTTCCTCTGGCAGAAATTTATCTGAAAGATCAGAATGCCTGACATGTCCCATCTTAGCTTCATCCCAAGTTGATGAGCGAAGTACTGAAGATCCATCTAAATATATATACATATAAGAAAAAGGATATTTATAAGAACCATATACAAAACTATTGTCAATCAGAAATTATACTATGGTCTTTTGAAACTACTTGTCACTTGTAATTCAGTTAAACTAACAGCAACTTAGAAATGCAATTTCAAAAATTAAGTGCTTAAAATTTCTAGGAAAAAAAAAAGGTCAAGAAACTCACCAAGTCCAAGACAGTAATAAATGGTCAGTGAAAACATTCAGACAACACATAAATTAAACATATTACTGCATGAAATTCCAATAATGTAATAGATATGAAAACTGCAAGGATGGAAAAAGCTGGTGTTCACAATGGCAGTCAACATTTAGAGGAAAAACAACACTACTACACGGAAAATGGGGATAACGAACAGAAGTAAATAATACCAATGACAAAGTTTTCTTAATCTTGTTAGTACTGATTTTAACTTTTGATCCCAGTTTTCCAGAAATAGTCAATGCCAGTGTTCCTCACCATTCAAAAATGATGCCTTCCAAAACATAAGCTAAATCAATTAAATTGACACATTTAGCCTGCCTGGCACATTGCAATCAGTTAGTGCCAGCAAACTGGATCCAGAATCACTTTGTTCCGAAGCATCTAAATAGTCATTGAATACACTAATCCAATGAACACTTAAAAATAAAGAATGAGAAAACCCAATAGTTTCTGCCGAATTAACCTTAACAACATATGCAAAGTAGTAGGGAAGAAAGTTTAAATGCCTAATAATTTTGATGAAAACAAGAGTTCAAAATGGTGGCAATTCTCAAAAATATATGGAAAATTTGTTAGATGATTCATTTTTTCCCTTCTGGACAGCGTGGTAATGAGTTTTGATAAATCAACACTTACAAATTACGAGCTTTAAAATGAAAGCATACCTCTATATCCATCGCCACGACTAATCCACAAGCTCAAAAGTAAGGGTAATCCCCACAGAACAAAAACCAAAGATAGTGAAACCTTGTACAGGCGATTTCTTCCACTAATAGCCTCCGCCAAAGCCCTTCTTTGGAGAAGAGCTCTACGTGATCTCTGCATCCTACATCAATCCAGAGTCCAAACCACAGCACCCCACAATGCAGCTGAATGAAGAAACTTAGAAACAAACACCCTCCAGCAAATTATTGAACCCCTTGTCTGCAATTCCACAATCCATACCTAATATCAAGAAATAAATCAACCCAATTCATGAAATTTAAATTCCATTTCCAATAAAATACCAAAAAAGCTAACAAGAACAAATAATTGAAACCTCAAAATACCAGGCAGGGAAAAAAAAACATGCATACCCAAAGCCTGAATTATTGTATGGTAAAGGCAAAATTGAAAAGTTTGAGCTGCAAATCCTTCAAAATTCGAAAAACAAAGACCAGATCGAATCCAAGACAGTTCAATCAAAAACAAAGCAGAAGCCAATAGTTCAAAATCAAGTAAAGAAAACCATGATTACCAGAAATTAAGACGCCAAGAAGAAGAAGAATAATCCAGAGTAAGATCTATTTATTTCTTTTTTTTTTTTTCCTAATGTGAAACAAAAAGATCAGCAACGGGAATACAGAAACCAGAGCGTCAGAAAAAATCGTAGCTCTAAAGTAAAGACGGAGGTGAAGGCGGTGCTCTGATCGGCGTTGTCTTGTGGGAGACTTCTCCTCGCCGGTCTTCGTGCTCTTTATTATTTTTTCTGCGTGTTGTCCCCTTTATAACGGCTTCTCTGTATTTTGAAAGCAGTCGGAGATCTTCTGTTTGCTGTGGGCTCCTCTCCCGTTGTTGCCTTCGTTTTGTACTGGCCGACAACTGTGAACTGTTACGGTTACTTTTTACCGACGGTTTAATTTGAGGTGCGGTTGGTTTTAAAAATTAAAATGATATAATTACGATATATTAGCTCTCATGATAAGTTATTTTACATTAATTTTTTTATTTAGATATTTATTTTTAGATTAATTTATTTACATATTAAGTTTATATATTATATTTATATAAAACTTTAATTATTTATTACTTCACTTTTAAAAATTAAAATTTATTTATATTTATTTAAAATAATTATTTTTTATTTAAAAATTAT